TATTTTGAAAAAATAATTTATTAATATTTATCTAAATATATCAATCTTTTTGTACTGAATTATAATAATAATAATTTGATTAGTAAAAAAGATAATGAATTTGATTGATATAATCAAGTTAATATTCTAATTAAAGTGATATTTATTAATTTTAATATGTAATTTATTAAAAAAAAATAATATATAAAAATTATATAATTCTTATTTAATTTATAAAAATATTAATAATATATAATCTAATACAAAAAATTTAAATTTTAACTAATTTTTATAATTTTTTTATATTAAATAAAAAATGATCTGAATTAACTTTTTATACTATTTTAATTATTTTAATTCAATAATAAATAAAATTATATTTTTCTAAAAAAAACTAAAATAAAATATTTTTTTTAAAAAAAGATATTTTAATATTATTATTATTAATTTGCAATATTAAAACTTTAATTTACATAAGCAAATTATCTTAGATTTGATAAATATATATTCTAAATTTCATAAAAATTGAATCAGTAGTAATAAAGAAATTAAGATTCAAAATTTAGTAATTAAATTATTTACTATATAATTTTGAATAAAAAATTTTTTTATAAAAGATATATAAGAAAATTTTTTACATTTAAATAAATTTCAATATTTAATAACTTAATTAAATGAGACAGAATTAAAATTTTATTTTGAAAAAATAATCTATTAATGTTTATTTGAGATACAAATCTTTTTGCATCAGATTATATTATCAATAATAAATTTATTTCTTAATGATAAGAGAAATATCAAATATTTGACAAAGATATATCTGCAATTATATGAGATCTATATATTACGCGAAAGGGCTATAAAAACGATATATTTCACGACACGCGTTAATCATTATGAAAGTTTGATAAAAATATAAACGATATATTTTTTATTTAATAAAAAATGATATATTCTAATTTGATAATTTGATAAAAACGATATATTTCGAATCTGATTAAAAAATGATTTATTTCATGATACCATTAATCGTGATGAAAGTTTACGCGTTGATCATTAATAAAATGGGTCGGATTGTCGAACAAGGAAACAGGTAAATTAGAGGGTCGAGCAGGGATTCAGAATCATGTGTACGGACAAAATCCCCCCGCATGCTGTATGTTCAGAGTTCACGAGTTATAGATGGTCTTAAATTGATAATATTCGATATAACTTGATAATGAAATTAACATTCTCAGTCCACAAAATTGACATTAAAAAATTCAGATAATAATAATCGAACTTTTTTTCACCTATTCACCAATTACAGCATTATTATAAAATTCAACCACATCCTCATGATCATTCAAAGCATTTACAAATTTTGCCATTACTTTATCACGCTCTTCATCCTCAACCAATGGAATAGTTGTCGTCGGTATATATCCAGATCGCATTGAAGTAACCGCGTATCGGTATTTTTTAGTCAAGTTTTCCGATATGGCGTTGACGGCATTATTTTGACATGTGATCTGTTATGAATTGATTATTAAAATAATTATTGGGAGCTAAAGATGAATATTTATTTGTATATTTACTTCTAGTAAATCATCATCTAATTCTTGTATGTCTTCAACACCATCGATTTCCATCGCATTTTCAATCATTGCATCAACTGAATCTTGCGTACTGCCTTTTGAAAATTGAATCTGACCTGAAAATCATGGCAAATATCAATTTTAATTGGGTCTTGCATAGACAAGAACTCGAATTTAACAATTACCTTTTTTTTCAAACATCCAATTGACAGTACTCATTGATCCACTTTTCACACAAGATAATAACATAATCAAGTTAATTATTTTCGTGATAATTATGAAAAAATGCACGACATGCACGTCTTTTTTCCGTTTTCCTAAAAGCACACCCCTTTCATTTTGGAACTCACACAAATAGATCTTTGAAAACGCACTCCATACCCATGTTTTGTGAAAATCGATTTGATATCTTTTACTGTTCTATTCCTATTGTTCGTCAAAGTCTCTCTAAGCTCAAATTACAGAAAATGTATTAAAAATTTCACAAAATCTAAAAATTTTCTAAATGCATTGATAATCGAACTCTTACATTATGAATGCAACTCCATTAGGCCCATATCCTTCGTATGTAATGCTTTCGATCGCATTCTCATCTTTTTGACCTGTTGCCTTTTTAATTAACCAGCGAGTGGATCAACAAACGTTTATTAAAATAATGTCAATAAAACAGAAGAAACTAATATAGAATACCCTCTTAATAGCATTATCAATATTATCTTTGGGAACATTTGCTTTTTTAGCAGCTGCGAGAGCAGCTGCTAATCGAATATTCAAAGTAGGGTCAGCACCACCCACTAATTAATATACCCGAATCATATTGAAATAATTTATTAATAATTCATCCCCAGAAAAATACCAACAAATTTCAAGCTAAAAGATAATACTTTTTGCCGCGAGTTGTATTTCTTTGGTCATTTTAGAGAACTGTATGCCTTTTTGACTATCCTTGATTCCTTTAATATGCCTTATTTTACTCCATTTATTGTGTCCAGATGAAAGTGATGGACTTGTAGATATATTTTTGTTAAATTGCCTAAAAAAAATACAAGTAAATTTCAAATTGCTCGCGCACTGACGACGAAACAATGTAAGAAAATTCATCATGAAACTTTAAAAAAATATATTTTATTATTCTCCGATTGGTGAATTCCATCTTTATTGAAAATGTCACGTGGAATATACAGGTATATAAAAAAACAAAAAAGTAAATCAATAAAAAGGTAACAGCTCGATGCGCTCGAAGTTCCAGCTAATGAATATGCTCGCTCGAAGAGGTCAAAGCTTTAAATAACGCATATGTAAATATGCTGACTAAATCGCATAATGCATCCATAGCACGAAGCAATAAGACAGTGCCCAATATTGTCTATATGAATCAAGATTGAACGATCTACTTAACGCCTAGAAGGAGTTGTTGGAGTTCCAGGACCACCAGCACCACCGTCACGTCTTGGAGGTAATGGTCTACCTATAGGACTAGGCGACCTCGGACGTCCAGTATATGGAAGAGGGCCTCTACCACTTCTTAATGGACTCATAGATCGACGTCTTTTTTTTTAGATAAACAATTATTATTTATATATTTTAACACAACTATTTTAATTTAAAAATGTCTCAAAATATATTTGGTTCCCACCTATATAAACCTGCACGAGGAGATAATGGTCTCAATGAAGGGGGAGGAGGTGCGAATAAATTGTCAGTAAAACGAGGTGGTGGTGAGGGAGAACGACCACGATATGATGGGAGTGGCGCTTCTCTAAAATTCATGGATATTATCAGAAAACTTTATAAAATCAAATAATTTTCTGAATTAAGAAGTTAATTTTTACCTTATACCTGGACGTTCGTAACTTGGACGACGGGGTGGTAGTGGGGATCCAGTTTTTCCTCGAGCAGGATAAGGAGCAACATCTGGTGGAGGCAAAGGTCTACGTTCATAACCTTCTCTTTCATAGCCATCTCTTGGGGGAGGATAATAAACACGGTCGTATGGATCCCGACTATAACGCTCATAATTACGATCAGTATAAGTTCGATCGTAAGGCCTATCTCGCTCTCTCTCATAGCCTCCTCTATCATAAGTGCCACGATATTCTCTTCTATAATCTAACTCAGATTCTCTTGCATACCGATCATATGGAAGACGGTCATAGTTACGATCAAGAGTTGGAGGAGGTAGGTATCTTTCATCGCCACGATCATATTTGCTTCGTCCATCTCTTAGGTTGTAAGGTTCTCTTATGAAAGTATCGGTTATTCGACGATCATCGTAACGATTATTGGTTTTACGAGTATTTAATCCACGCCCATTGGTAAATGAACTAAATGGCAATTATTAGATATCATCAGCATTTTTAGGATCTTTTTTTGTCTACCACTAAGATCAGAGAAAATAAATAATCTGTGCTAATCTGATAGAGAAATTCTCAATAGCAAAAAAGCAAGACAACTGTAACTCCAATAATCACGCATGCAAATTAAGTTAAATTGTGAGCCTCTAAATTGTGCTTTGCCTCAAGATGATTGGATGATAATATGGTATCTACTTAAAGTGATGACTCAAACCGTTGAAGCAGAGCTGCCAGCTTTAAAGATCAGGACACACCGCGATGAGCGAGGTGTGCTTACCTAGTACATTCACGTGCCCAATGTCCAACTTGACCGCATTTGAAACATATATCCGTTGCCCTATACTTATAGACGCTAGTCTTGGTCTCGCCGTATGCATATTCTACACGCAATTGTGAGCCTTGAAACTCGGAACCATGAAGTTGAGTGATTGCCTCATCGCACATCCGACGTTCTTCAAATTCCTTTCATTTTTTGTGAGCAGCAGCAATGTCAGTATTTAAAAAGCAATATTTAAAGTAGAGAGCGAGTCTTCTATGAGATTTGATGAATTAATGCGCCCAAAGGATTTCAATGGAATAACCGAACTGGTTGATACACAAAACAGACAAGAAACCCTTTGGACGCATCGAAATCTGAGTGGATTGAACTATGTGATCATGATAAAGACACATCGATCTCTTTTAACATTTGACTTGGTCGTACACGTACTATATATGACTATTTCACAGAATTGAACTGCCACCACCATCCATCAAACCCATACACTTACAATAAATCCGTAATTCCCCTTGAGCTCCATATTAACAACGTTGCCAATTTTAGAGAAATGCTTTTTAATTTCTTCAGGTTGTGCTCTATCCGGCAAATTGCCAACATATATCTTGGTCCCCACACTTTGCATAGTTTGCAGAGCTGTTGCTGACAAACTCATTATGCAGTTCTTCTTTTCCGAGAGAAACTATATAGACTCAAAACTATTTTTGCCCAAACAGATGTCTTTCTGAGGCTATCAATCTGTTTATAACTCACACACTAGGTTTTTTGTGATATTGAACTCTGTGATCTTGAAAAGTAAAACGTGCATACGCAAAATTGAATGAAAAAAAGAACAGGCTGTGTGAAAGACACTTTCTTCAAGACTAGAGGTTCTCAGTCAACATCAACCACGCTTTGGCTTGTGTGTTAACGTTAACAATTAAAATGATTTGCTGTTTTCTGTTACGTCATCATAAAAAAATTTTGCCTGGTTTTGTCGATCATCAACCAACCCCTATCTCGGGAGTACTAAAAACGTCGGGAGGCAGTTTTACTCTTGAACCTCCTCCCACCCTCCCCCCTTATTCCTTAAAATCGACCTTTAACAATTACAGTAGAATTTTCCGGGAACGACAAAACCTGGCATAGATCTCTTGCGCATCTCCGTTATCTGAAATCTGAAGTTATCACTAACTGTCATGGGAGAAAGAGGAGACTTGAAAATATAAAATCTTTACCGTATAAAGTTAATAAGTGATGGTAAAAATTACAACAAACATAAATAAAAATGAACCTAAAATCATTCATTATTGATGTTTCGTGGAAAGAGAAAAATTCAATTTTTATCAGAATTTCATTCGTTGTTCGCCGTGTATATAAACTTTGCTATCAAGACGACATAATCATTATTTTGACTATTTTAACGAAACAATGACATATTGCTTCATCATTAGTTCATAGAATCAATCATATACAATATGTAAAATAAAAATAAAGATATCACACACTAATCTCTTTTTAATAACAAACACACAAAACTTGAAACTGTCCTACACGGGATCTAATTGACTTAAGTTCAAAAATATTCTCAACATCAGGAACAAATCAAAAAAAGGGTGTATCTGTGTAACCATTAGGAAAAAAAGAAAATCTCCGAACCGAAAAATTATCGTTATCAAATATTTTGAGTATTGTAACCGCGATTTTTAATGCATTATGGGAAAAAAAAAATACTAATTAACGTTAACTTATTTCATTTTACCTTTTATTTATACAAATAAAAATGAAACAAATTAATTTTTACTCCAGAAACAAAAAAAACTAGTGGGACACGTGTGAAATGAATCGATGCCTAATCTGGCGTGAAAAGGCGGGAGGAGACCAATAGGGTATAATAACTAACATATTTGCAAAGTAAGATTTCAATGGAAAGATAGAAACGAAAGCATCCGATAACGACAGCAGAACGAGATAAATTTATCAAAAGAAAAATCTTTAAAAAAAACGTGCCATCTTTCGTGCGTTTTCTAGCTTACTGTTTTTCAACCTTTTTTTTTAATAATCGCGTTGAGGTTACGAACTCATTGATTGTTAATTTAGGTATCATAAAAAAATATCGAGTCTCGCTTTTATTTTATACGTGCAAGTTAACACGAAATCATTAGAATATGAATAGTCGAATATTTTATTATTATTTGGGATGCTTTCTCTCATCACATATACAGTACAGTATATTGATATATATATATATATACCAAAATTGAACATTGAATGAATATAATGTTTTGCATGATTTCATCACGTCCTGCGTCTAAATAATCTGGCAGAATAACAATTAGTGAATAAATGAACAACATTGTATTATGTTATTTATGTATGCATATTGTTGTGGCATGGGTTGCATTGCATGAGGAGAGAAAATGAACACACTATCACAAAAGTTTAGAAGACTCATTAATTAATTAATTGAATGTTGCCTGCCTCTCCTCGTTTCTTTTTAACATTTTCGGTCTTAAAAACTATTTAAAGACATATTCGGATAGCAATACACATTCTTTCAGTAATATGCTCATGAAGCAAATAAACGTATCGGTATATGATGATTGTGGTGGTTATTTAAGGGGCATCTTTACGTGTATGGAATTTTGAATGCTTGTTGGTAAAGATGTATCGATATCGATATGTGTAGTGTTGATGCTTTTATACGTGTGCAATTTAATAGCCGTTAAGTGTTATTTATTATATGGTAAACAAAAAATGTAGGACACAACAGGAATTACACAAGAAACCAAAAAAAACATTGTGCATATTGCTCAAAGATCATAAAAATGCTTTTTCCTTATCCTCCTCAAATTAAAGCAACTTATTGATTTTTTTTTGATTCTTCGTAATTCTTTAAAACACATTCTAGTTAAAAAATTATTTTGATTAATAAAAAACATTATTTTTCATAGTGATTTTGATTTTTGCTTGACGTTATCATTTCTTTGTTTATTTTAGCATCCTTTTAATAGAAAAGCTCGATATCAAACAGACAAATATCATTTTTACTTAATAATATCACTTTTTTCCTATCAAAAAACCAACCAATTAATTTATATGTCACTTAAAAAAGTTACAATAAAAAGTCAGGAAATATCATGGCCTAGACCACCTATTATTATCGGTACTGGTCGTCTGGGTAAGGTCTATAAAGTTCAATATCAAGGAAGGGATGTTGCGATAAAATCTAGCAGCGTAAGTAAATAATTACTATATATATATTCCTAATTTTTTAAATGTGTTATATGTAACCCCAGAAATAAAGCTACCCCAATTTTATAAACGTGATATATATGTTATATAATAAAATGTAACCCCAAAAATAAGATGCCCCTATTTTTAAGCCTAAGTTCAAATATTATGATATAAATAATAGAATGACATGGCAGCAATCCTAGATGATTTCCACATCTATCATAAACTCCGCAAAAACGAATTCGTGCTAAAATTCCATGGATTCATGTTACGAGGTGATAAGATAGCATTGGTGACTGAATATGCTGCAAATGGAACACTAGGTCAATTTTTAAAAAAGAATACCTCAATTGGATGGGAATTACGTGCGAAACTATGTCATGATATTGCACTGGGTCTCTTTCAATGCCATGAAGAACGAATCGCGCATCTTAATTTAAAACCGGAAAATATATTTTTGACAACCGATTTAACACCGAAAATTGCCGGCTTCACAAAGAATAAACGTAAATCTGAAGAAGATTTAACGGCTTATCAGCCTAATGGAACTATACATTGGGCTGCTCCGGAAGAAGTTGTTAATGATGCTAACATGAAGCAATATTATCAAGAGTAAATAATTTTTTTAATTTAAATCCCTATGTCTATCTTGGCATTTAATCAGAAAAAATTTGTAATATTTTAGAAATCCTGAATTAGCTGATATATACTCTTTTGGATTGATACTTTGGTCAAGTAAGCAACACAAATTTGATGAATATTCAATATAATCAACTTCAATTTTTTTGATTCTTTATGAATTTTTTAGCTGCTTGTAGTGGTGCAATTCCTTATGAGGGTGTATTACGCGATAACATTTTATTAGAAAAAAAACAAATCAACTCTAATGAATCACTTCGAAGTCAACTTCCAGCAGATTGTCCATTTGAATTTGCACAAATGTTTCTAAAACTTACTCGATATAACCCACGACAACGAGCACACTTATTATATACATTAGTGGTTCTTGAAGGCTTATTTGATGTGCGCACAGATGTACAAGATCATACAATGAGTTTCAGTAAATTATCACATAGTAATAGCATTATGCGATACACAAGTCAAGATGATCTAGGTGAAAGTGCAGTAGGTCAAGAATCAGATACAAACAGCCAACATGCCTTAATCAATCATAGTAACGTGCTAAGTCATTCTGCTAGCATTCAAGGACGCCACACAGGCGTTAGTAGTTCATATCCACAACGACCAATCAGCCCAATCAACGCAAATCCAAAAACAGATGCAGAAATGCTCGACGAAGTAATAATAATGTACGTCGGAGCCGAAAAATTCGGATTCGACTGGCTTGCGAAAAATCTAAAAAAATGGGCGGAAAATGATGAGAATGACCCGAAAAAGATTTTCACATTGTTACAAAATGGTGGGGAACGACGGTATCGTGATTGTGTTCTCGGATACTTTTACGAGGAAGGATTCGGGACACATCGTGATACGCAGCAAGCATATCGATGCTATCGGAAAGCGGCGGATAATGGCGAGGCTGCAGCACAAAATCACCTTGGACTATGTTATCAGGATGGGATAGGTGTGGAACGAGATAGCGTTAAAGCATTTGATTGGTTTAAGGAGTCTGCAGCGGCTGGGAATGCTGCCGCTTTAAATAATCTTGCCCAGTGTTATGATTATGGAAAGGGAACTGGTCCGAATCGACTTAAAGCTTTCTCGACTTATAAGAAAGCGGCAGAGGGTGGAAATGTTTCGGCACAATATAGTCTTGCTTTATGTTATGATGGTGGTTATGGTACTACTAAAGATAAACGAAAGGCTGTTAAATGGTTAACTACAGCTGCGAATAATGGTAGCACAGCAGCTATTGAAACATTGGCTGCTCGTAAAAAGAAAAAGAAAAATTGGTGAGTGAATCATTTTGTTTATATTATATTTCAATTAATAATGAAATTAATGTTTTATTTTACTTTATGTAGTATCATTTCATAAATCAAAATCGTCGTCGTGTAGCCCTTGATCGTAAATTATATCCCACACTTTTGATAAAAACTTTATAATAAAAAAAAAGAAAACCTGTCAAAGCATTGAATCAAAAAAAAAATCAATTAGGCAAATAAAATTTCATCCAAAATTTTGCGTACCTGCATATATATAATATATAAAACATAAAGAGAAAAATTAAGAGACAATTTAACAAGATCTCTATTTGTTATTAGCTACTTTTTCGCTATAATATTCTTTATCCATTTTTATATCAATATTTATAATTATCAATTTTTTATTTTTATATGGCGCTGGCACCTTTTTCACTTACCTAGTAATTCGATATTACTAGAATGCAAAAGCTTAAACAAGCACCAAAGTTATTCTCATCATCATCATCATATCACACATACACCCGCACAAAATAGACTGTAAATTATATATAATGTGAATATCTTAAATAAATCTTTTAAAGAAGATTTGATATCTCCGGCATGAATTTATTGATAATAAATAGATATTACATTCAGGCCCAGATGAATTTAATAATCATCATAAAAGCCTCGACCGGATTTGCGACCAAGCCATCCAGCATCTACATATTTTTGTAATAAAACTGCTGGTCTATATTTTGTATCGCCGATCTCTTGATGAAGAACTTTCATAATTGCAAGACACGTGTCTAATCCAATGAAATCAGCCAATCTGAGTGGCCCCATAGGAACATTTGTTCCAAGTTTCATTGTTGTGTCAATATCGTCACGTGAAGAAATTCCCTGTTCAATAATTTTTTTATATGAATATTATAATAGGTGGGAAGAATTGAACATTTACACAATATATCTACCTGTTCAAGCACTATCACGGCCTCGTTAATGTATGGCATTAATATGCGATTCGCTGCAAATCCAGGTACATCTTGTGACTTTGTGCAGGTTTTACCCATTTTCGCAGCAAATGAAAGAGTGGTATTGAGAGTTTCCTCAGAAGTGGACAATCCCGGAATGATTTCTACTAACTTCATAACTGGTACGGGGTTCATAAAATGCATCCCTATCACCTACACAATGTTCAATTTACAGATCCATTCTCTATTTGAATTATGTTAATTTTTTGATTGACTTACCTTTTCAGGTCTCTTTGTCGCTGCAGCAATCTTTGTTATACTAATACTACTAGTATTTGTTGCTAAAATCGCATCAGATTTGGTGATTTTGTCCAATTCGCTGAAAATTGAACGTTTTAAATCAACATTTTCCGAGGCAGCTTCAATCACAAAGTCTAAATCGTTGAAAGCGGAAATATTATTTACTATGATGGTGCGTGACTTTGTGGCATCAGCATGATCACGTGTAATTCGGTTTTTGGCAATCTCTTTTTCTAAGTAATTATCTATTATGACAATAATAATATTTTATTAATCAAGAAATAGTAGTAAAAATATAATAAAAGGAGGATAATAACCTATAAATGCCAGCCCCTTTTCTATTTGTTTAGGATTAATCTCTAAGATTTTGACGGATAACTTTGCAATATTTGCAGCTACCAGAGCAATTCCTAACCCCTGACATTAAAAGTTGGTGAAAAGATTATTATCAAATCGAATCGAATCAAATTGACAAAATAATAGTATTGATTTTACCATTTGACCTGCTCCAATCACTCCTATTTTTCGCTTATTCAAGGGAAAATTTAAATTTAATTAACAGATCTTGTAAATCCACTAATAGCATTTAAAAATTCGAAACATCATCACCTCATTCTCACTTTTAATTTCACTCGTAGCGTGAATATGACTAATTTGCATCGCTGGCACACTAGGATTTTTATTATTTAACCAAGACCATGATAACGTATTTTTGTCTTTTGGTAAAACATACTTTATATATGTGTGTATACAAATATATATATTAAATGAAAAAATAATCTTAACAATAAAATATCAAAGAACATTTTAACCTTAGTAACGCCAAATTTTGCCAAAGTAATTTTTTTGAAAGTTCTATATAAAATCATTTCAAAACTTTCAGGAGAGACTGTTCCCAGTTCGACTAACCAAATTCACGAATTTTGATAATGCAAAAAAGCATTTCACAATATAACGGATAAATTAACGGTCATCAAATTGTCCCTTTATTAAATTAAGGGATCGACAAAGATTTTCACACTCAATTTCAATATAAAATGGTCACCAGAAGCCAACTTCACTTCTAAGCTAGCCCTCTAATGATGTAAGGTAAACTACCTTGCTTTGCTAAGTTGAACAAAGCTTGGTGTCTGTCTCTTATTAACTGTCTTATTTTATTTATTTCAATACTAATAATTTTAAAAGAATCTTGAGCCAAAGCAGTCTAATTTGATAAAGTTACTTAACATTATTACATATTAATATCCCTTACTAAAGACATATATTATGAATACAAAAGCTTCTATTTTCAAGAAATCCAATCCAACTTCCAAAGTGATCAATTCTGATCCACCTGAATTTATATCTAAAATAATTAATACTTATCATAATGATGTGTTATTTTTAAATAATTTTAATTATGTTAATAGTGATAATAATTATGATCCAGCAAATATCAAAAGCATGAGTCTTGTAACTGAAAGTATTATAATGGAGAGTGTTGCAGATGATATATTAGACTTTAATATAGAGATAAAATCTTTTTTATTTAACAAAACTGAATTTAAAAAAGTATAAATCTTAGTAAAAATATATAAAAGTAATAATATATATCTTTTAAATGATATTAATACTAAAATAAATGATGATGATATATTATTATTAATATTATTATTTGAGCTGGAATCTGAACTAAGTGAGAAAAATGATTATCTTATAGAAAACATCTTAAATACTGATCAAATACTATCAGTTTATCTAATTTTGAATTTGATTAATAGTCATATTCAATATTATTCAGATAATTCATTAAAATAAAGATTACTTATCTAATTTGTTAAAACTTGAAAGCTTGATGTAAAAATTATTTAATAAGCTAATGAAAAGAATAAATTATTAATAATAGATATTTATTAATTCTATTTTCTTTTTGATTAAAATTAACTTTATTATCTATATGTTAAATAAACTCAATTAATTGAAAAAAGTTAAATTTTTTATTATTATTACTTATTTTACAACAAATTTAAATATTTCTTTAGCTAAGGCCAAATATATATATAATATTTAATATATATTTAGAAAAAGAATATGCAAATTTTATATACTAGGCTCAAGATTTATCTTATTTTTGATAAAAAGATAATATGAGAAAATATTTCAGATTTAAAAGCAGAATATTGATCTTATTATATTTATTCTATATACTTTATTACAAATAGTAAATATTTTTTTGAAAGATCAGATTATAGAAATAAATCAAATTTTGAATGTACAGATAGATATAAAAATGATATAAATGAAATACTTAAAGTTTTGAAATAATGAATTTTACTTATAACTAAATCTAATAATAATAATAGAAAAAAGAATTTATTAAAATACCTAACTTTTGCTTTATTAATATTTTGTGATATCAAGTTTACTTCAATAATAATAAATTCTCTAAGCCTTTTTTTTATCAAAATGACTTTGAAATTAGGATATTTTTAAGTAACTAAACTTTTAAATCAATAATATAATATTATAACTAATATAGTAATAGAACTTGAACAAGTGTTAGAAATTATAATATGATAATTATGATATGATATATAAAAAAAGTCATAACTTGAAAGTTCAATCTCATTTGTAGAATATCAATCTGACTTTCTCTTATATTTGATAGACTTTTTTAATAGATTAGTTAGTATTCTACAAAAAAAATATATAATTCTTTTAAAAAAACAGAAATAAAAAAATCTTCTGTTAAAAATTTTTAATACAAATTATATAATAAAGATATTCATATTTCTTATTTTAATTATATTAAATATTGCATTTTCAGAAATTAATATTTAACTTACTTATATAATAAGCTTGCTTTGCTAAAAGCTAAAGTTACTCTATTTTTTATATAGTATTCTCTATGTAATAAATATCATATCTCATATATAATAGCATGAAAGACTATTGAAAAAGGCTTATTTTTATGAAACAAATTCAGAATATTAATTATTATATAATAAAAATATATGAAATATTTTAGTTATTAATAATATAAACTTTGTAAAATAAATTTTTATATATGAAAATATATTTGATACTATTCATAAGACTATTTATATTACTTTAAGAATAGTATTTTAATTTATTATACCAATATAATTATAATATTATAATATGAATAATAGTAATTATAATAAGAATAATAAATCTATAAATCTAAATATTTTTAATATATCTGCTTTTATGAATAATCTTATATCTATTTATGAGATAATTTTTCAAAATTTTTTAATTATATATTTTGATAGTTGGAATACTAAAGATATTCTTAATAAGATTATATTGTTACTATTTTAAGATTATGCGTATGTAATTATTTTAAAATGATAATAGTAACTGTGTTCACAGTAATTATTTACTTTTATAACTTCAAGAAATTATATGACTAACTATTCTTTTAATAAGGTGATATGTATAAAGTTTATTTCTAACAAGATATAATTATTTTCTTAATAAGATGATTTATACATGTCTTACTTATAATAAAAATATGATTATCTTCTCAATAAGATAATATACGTAAATTTACTTCTAACAAAATGCTCTCTTAATAGAGCAAGAAGAAAATAAGATAAGATATAAGATAAAATATATGTGTTTA